AGAAGCCTTTGAGAGGGAACTGACACTGATTCTAACTACTCCAACAGCTGTCAAAATACCTGAAAGCAAATCCTGAATCCATCACTCTCGAGTCCAGCCTTGGCAGATAAAAGAAACATTAGGAGGAACCCAACAGAGGGATGCTTTTGGAAGCCCTTGTCAAGAAATTCCGATGGACTCTCATATGAACGTTTGAAAATTGCCCTGTTCTGACTTTTTTCTAGTCCCTGTCTAGAACTTGTAATGCTAATTACTCTTGCGTTTACTTCTCCTTCACATCTCCTCTTCACGATTCGAAGACTTTCTTTTCCTCCTTGACATAAGGGTCATGCAATTTGGGAGTCTTTTTGATAGACCCATGGAAGGGGTACTCCAATTGCCTCACCCTGCGTCCCTGTTCAGCATGGAAGAAGCCAGAGTAGTCTGCATGCCTATTCCCTATTGGTAATTTGGATAACCTTTTCGGAGGATGGTGTGATAAGAATAAGAGGTAAGAATTTGCTATTCAGTTAGTGTAAAAAGACCCCAAAGAAAGGTAGCCAGTTTCTTGGCTAAAACTCACAATGTCCTTGGGCCCCTTAGCAACCTACTCCAATCCAAAGGCCAACAATGTCGAAAATATTTGGGAACTTTTATCTAATCCTTAAAACATTTTAGGGTTACTTCTTCAGAAGGGGGAATGTTAGAGTAGCTAAAAGCCCCATAAAAAAGTTAAAGAAGAAGAAAGAGTACATAAAGTTATCAGAAAAAAAGTGATGGGGAGATGTGGGAGGAGTTAGAGGGGAGGGAGTGGGCATGGATTTGATCAAAACACCTTATATGCATGTATGAAATTCTCAACAAGTTATTTATTAAAAAAATAAATGTAATACAAATTTAAGAAAAAATTTAAATACATTGTATGACATTCTCATGGAACATATAAAAGAATATTAAAAATGATATTTTTAAAAACCTAAAAAAAAACAGCAGCTGATGGTATGCCCCACAAAGCATCAGGTGTTTGAAACCTTAGGTTTTCTTGGTGGGTATCCTGAGTCATAATCAACGTTAATTTCGGATGATGCAAAGTGACTCTCCATCCTCTTTAGGAGTCAACAGCATTTGCAACGGAGGTCACTTCCCTGTTCTTACTCTTTATTTTCTTAGTCCGCATCAACACAGGAAAGTGTTGCTCTTAGCTACTTATTCGTAAATCGGTGGGGTACTTTTACAAATGCTTGTGCATATTGTTCTCTGTCTAAAAACCTGTCCACTGTGAATTCTCAGTGGTTTCTGTGAGTTTAATTTTACTTTGAAACTTTTCATCTCCCTAGTGTAGCTACATGTAGATAACTATGTTATCTGACTCTAGTTTGCTTTCTTTCAAGACTCCAATGCATTATGGTATAGAAGGAGACCATTATTTAGGTATTTTGCATTATTTAATTCACATATAGTAAGAAGAAAAATGTACCATTGGTCTTGCTGAACCTGCAGTCCAAATGGGGATAACACAGCTAAAGCCACAAAGCTTAGACTCACAAGGTCTCTGCAGGTTTCAAGCTTACACCCAAGGGCAGAATCAGGGTATAATCCCAAACCTGTTCAGCAACACGACTGATCTCGCCAGCCACATCTGCTCCAGAATTCCCAATGCCAATCACGACCACTCTCTTTCCCACAAAGCTCTCTGGGTGCTTGTACTCCCAGCTGTGGAGGTATCTGCCTTGGAACTTCTCGATCCCTGTGAGGGAGAGACAAATCCCCAAGTCACACACAGAAGTGGAAAACGATGCCTGGAAAATTTATTCCTAATATGAAGTTTATGTTATGTAAATTCCTTTCTCTGTTCTTGACAATTTATTGCCAATATTACAAAATAAGATTATCTAAGGAATGAAATATTCAATAGGAGTGATTATGTGGCTAAGATCAAAATCAGACCAGATGTTTCTTTTAAAGTGTCTGATTTTAAATGTGCCCAATATGATAACACATGTAACAAGAGGAGGCTGTGACTTTTTATATCTCTCCACTATATATACAACTGTGCATTGCAAATAGGTGAGACCCTTCATAATATTCAACAAAAGAAACAAAATGTCAATCACATATGCAACTTTATAGTGGTCATATGAAAAATATGTGAAAGTTATAATTTCAATGAGTTTTTTTAGATTTTATTTTTTAGTTACATGTATATGTGTGTGTGTCTATGTGTGGGTCTGTGCACGTGAGCGCAGTTGCCCACAGAGATCAGAAGAGGGTGTTGGATGCCCTGGAGCTGGAGTTACAGATGGTTGTGAGCCTCCTGTTGTGGGTACTGAGAACTGAACCCAGGACTTCTGCAAGTTCTCTTAATTACTGAGTTACTCTCCAGCCAATTTAAATGATATTTTTACCCAAACATACTCTAAAATGTAACATATAATCAACATACAAAAGTATCAGTGAGCTCTTTTGCAGTCTTACTGTGCCTTTAAAGTCAAGTGAGTATTTTACACTGTATACATAACTCAATTTGTGTCAGTCATATTTCTAGTACTCAGTAATAACACATGGCTATTGGCTATGCTATTAAACCATGTAAATTTTGGGTATTAGAATCTTTAAAGCATCTTGAGAACTAAATTTATTCTATTTCAAAAATATTAACATTGACACAAAGTCTAACACTGTTTTTGATGCTTTCTGTAAGTCAGTGCTGCCATGACCTCTAAAATGTCTCTAGAGTTTCATCTTGCTGTTTTAATCCTCACTGCCAGCACCCTCTCCTCATTCACATTCATGTTCTTATCCTCCTGTCAATCCTTCATCCCACTGACATACTTATAATGCTTTTTATATTATATTTATACTATAAAAATATGATCAGGTATCTGTTCTCCACAAACACATACACACACACACACACACACACACACACACACACAAACACACACACATCGTCTCTCTCTTCCCCAGTAGTTTTCCATTGACTCCTATATACTCTTTTCTGCCCATTCATATCAAGTATGTGACATTCTCAAAGCTCACGATTTCACACCTACTACTTCCCCAGGAAGGCCTGATCCCACTCTTGTTTGCCTAAGGAGCTCTGAGTTTCCAGATGTACTGTTACCTCTATTGTCAGATCTTTCCTGACCATTAGGAAGGTTAGCTTCTTTTGTTTCTTTTGTATTTCTTCTGTGGCATGTTAGCACTTTTGCCCAATGCCTTTGGTAGGATAGGCATTAAGACCCTTAGAATATAAAGATTTTTCTTGCACTGCGTTCATTTAAATACCTTCAAAATCCTGTAAGGGCATATACTTTTCATTGTAGTAACCACTGCAGACCATGACTCCATCAAAGATATAGGTTTTCTTTTTCCCATCAGCTTCCACCACAACATCCCACTGTCCAGAGGATGAAAAATCAGGCCGTTTCCTCACACTGCACACTTTTGTCTAGAAAACAAGGAATGAGAAAAGGAACAGTTAGTTCTAGAGCACTGTTCCCAATATTCATTTTTATCTGAAATTTCTGTGTTTTGGTAAATTAAGTAGATTGTAACTTCTGTGTTTATAGCTCCTGTTCATTAGGATTTTAATACAAAATTTGCTAACAGTATTACTTCTCAAGAATTGAGGTATGTTGGGAAAAATAATACATTAAACCTCCCCATATCCCATATTTTACTTTTAATAAAGCTAACTGAAAACTAGACAACAGGAAGAAATCTCTAGACAATGTTTTTATGATATAGGAACATATTGAGGAGGAGGAGGAGTCAAAGACACTTCTTTCAGAACTGTGGTGGGAAATGCAAATTGAAACTCTGCCCTAGCTGGCTCAGGCTCACAGATGGTGGGTGGGGCTTTCATGCCTTACCTGGAACTGGATGTGTTTCAGAAGCCCAAAGTGTCTGGTGTACATCCTGAGATACTCCATCAGTTTGGAGTTGTGCATATAGTTGGGGTAATGGTCAGGGATAGGGTAGTCACTGAAGGCTGTCATCTCCTTGGAAGTGTTGCAGATCAAAGATTTGTATATTCCAGGATGTCCGCTTTCTGGTGTCTCCTACATTACATTTTATAAGACACATTATTTTTGACTGCACCCACTCCCTTCTGTCCAGTTGCTGTACGATCCACGATGTAAGCACTCCTTAAGTTGTGACTAGATTTGTGATCACACATTTTTTTAAGTGGGGGCATCCTTTTAGTACAACACAAAGCAATGTGCACACTATACATGATATGGAAACATGAAGTGTCATAACTAAGATCAGGAGATGTTGGATCCTGATAAAAATTCTGCTAAAGGCAAAGCAGATGTTCCCATTTTTGAGTTTTAGGTTTCTCATACATAAAAATATCCCAATGATTTCATGTGGAGTTAGGGAAATGAAAGATTTGATGGTTAATCTTGATTGAGAGGCACCTGGAGATTCGTAATTCATACCTCTGGGTGTGTCTGTGAGGGTGTTTCAATAGGTATTCTTCTAGTCCTCTTTTTTTTTTAATTTTTAAAACCCAGTACCATTTCATTGGAAGTACCTAACTCATTTTTTAGTTCCCAGAGGATCACAACTCATAGTAGCTTAAGTCTCAGAGGAGAGTTTAGACTTGGACTTTTGAGCAAAGTCTGAGCTATGAAGCCTCTGAAGACTCTTGGAGATGGGCTGAATGCATTTCTCTTTATGAGATGGACATGTGCTCTTAGAGACTATAGGTGGAAGGCAATGGTTTAAGAAGCTGTGTTTCGATGGAAAGTTGATAAGGGGTGGATTTTGGGCAGGTAATCCTGATTGTCCACTTGATTGGATTGGGAAGAACCTGGGAGATTAGTAAAGCACATCCCTGGTTTTATCTGGGAAAGCATTACCTTGGGTAGGGGAGACCCACCATGAATGTGGAAGAGACTATTTCATAGGCTGGGGACCTTGATGGAATAAAAGGGGAAAGAGGAGAAAACCCATTAGTACAAGCATTCTTCTTTGCTCCCTGGTTGCCATGATGGAGCTGCTCTGCTCAGTTCTGACCTCCCTGTCCTGATGGACTGACACCATGGAACCATAAGCCAAAGCAAATCTGTTCTCTTTTAGGTTGTCTTTCTCAAGTATTTTGTCAGAGTGACGAGAAAGCAAACAGAAAACAGAGTAAGAGTCACGAGTACTTCAGAGATTTCAAGTTTATCTGAACATAAAGTATTACTACTTTGAAAAAAATAGTTAAATTATTTAAAATGTACATGTTCAACTTCCTACTAGAAAGTCTCTGTCACACAGACATAGTATCATACTTTATGAGAATAAACTTTATACAATTACCTCATATCTCCACAGTCCTCCAATGTCACTGCTCTTTTCAAAACATATAGGCTCGAGTCCCTCCTCCAAGCAGCTCTTAATAGCACCCAGTCCGCTGACCCCAGCACCAATGACTGCAATTCTTTTTACTTTCATAATCTCTTGAACAAAGAAGAATTCTTTCAATTTTTCTTGAAAAGTAAAATCAAGGTTCATTGCCAGGTCAGTCCTCATTAATTCAACAATATAATAATTTGTTTTGATAGGCCTTTGCTTGTTTCTACTACAGCTTCTTAATTTGGAGCACACATGCACACACACATGGTTACATACACACACAGGCACATGTAAACAGTGATATGGCAGTCTTTGTTCATATTTACCCTTTATTACCCTCTTTCATTTTTCCTTCCTGTTCTCCTGGATCCTCTTTCTCTTTTCTAATTGTTGCCCTTCTACTTCCAGGTCTTTCAATTTCCTAGATTTCACACATGAGAGAAAACATGCAACACTTGTCTTTCTGAGTCTAGTTTATTTAGCTTAACACAATGATTTCTAGTTCCATCCATTTTCCTGCAAATGATGTGATTTTCTTCTTTATGACTGAATAATACTACACTGTGCACATATGCCACATTTATTTATCCATTTATCTATTGACTGGCAACAAAGATGATTTCATAACTTGTGAATAACTTTGACCATTTTAAGAGTCTTTGAGGTTCTCTCCTTTACCATTCACAGTTTCACTTTAGCTACCTGGTTTTCTTTTATACTATCCTGGATGCATGGTCTCCTTCTGCAGTTAGATGGAGAAGCATGAGAATGGGACCTAAGATTCTCTTTGAGTCATTAAGTACTAAAGGACAGCATGGGACTCGAGACAGAGAAGTGAGCTCAGTTCTCTTAAGCCAAGCCTTTCTTACTGAAACCTTAGTTTGATGTAGGTAGGATTCCAGCTTCACTCCCTCATGGATGATATCCAGGGTACATTGCCGCTTGTTACCCCCCCCACCCCCGCCTTGGCACTATAGTTATGACTCATGTGGAAGGGAAATGACCCCTCTGATAGGCAAAGTGCAGATTCTGGTACCTACCATGGGAACAAAAGCAAGCCTGGGCCCCTGCCCTCTCACTCAAGCTCTTTTTAATGTCCTGCTACTTAATGACCTGTAGCCATCTGTATTAGTCACTTTTCTGTTGCTGTGATAGAAACACTGACCCAAGCAATTTATAGAAGGAAGAATTTATTTGAGCTTATGTTTCCAGGGGAATTACAGTCCATCATGGCAGGGAGGCATGGTGGCTGGAGGTGGCTAGAGCAGGAGCAGCAGAAGCTAAGCTCTCACGTCATCACATAGGCACAGGAAGCAAGAGTGACCGGAAATCTGGGAAGGCTTAGGAACTCTCTAAGCCCACCCCCAGTGATGTGCTTCCTCCAGGATAGCCACACCTTCTAAAACCTCCCAAAACAGCGCCATCATCTGGGGACAAAAATGTCCAAACACTTGGAGCCTATGGGGGACATTTTCATTCAAACCACCACACCATCCATGCATCTGACACAAGGGGGTCTCTGAAGAATTCATTCTCCCAGGCAATTTCCAGTATAGACTTGAGGAAGAATAAATAGGAATTCTATTCAGGTAGCAGAGTAAGCCACATTCTCTAGCATAGCTTGAATGGGAAGCCTTACACTTTGCACAATAAGCCAGCATTGTATTTGAATGCTTATTTTCCTCCAATGTCCCTTCCTCACTTGGTAAGAATTGGTAAGTGAGAAGTATATTTATATTTTGAGTATTCTTATGTTCATAACAGCTATATACAACTCATTCTTTCCTTTTTAAATACAGAGTCTATTTCTTTCAGAGTATGTAACTCAATCTTAGAGTCAAGAAAGACTTATGCTACTTAAAATGTCATATCCATTCAGTGTTTACAACACCACCTGATCACATGCAGGCACTGTAGCTATGAACTGTTACACAAGCCCATGAATTTTGTTTATTCTTTTTTCCCTATCCCACAGTTAACTCATGCTTGATGATGTTACAAAATCATAAAATAGATCACTAAAAGAAAAAATTAAAATTACATGTCCCATCAAGAAGAAATGAACCAGTATACATGGTTTTAGACTCTGTTATTTTATGAATATACATATATGTATTTGTGTAAAGTTTTATGTATATACATAAAACTTTAATATGATATGTAATATGTCACATAATTTTTCACTAAAATGTTGTGAAGATGTTTCTATTTATATGGAGGCTTTCAGGAAATACTTGGTAAATGAATTAGTTAATTTTGATGACCATAGAATTTTCAGTTGTCTAAGCTTCTGTTGCATAGCTTAGAATTCCGATTGCCACTATTGCAAAGAAACAAAAGTTATCTTGCTTTTCAAATGCATGTATGAAATTTTCAATAAAGTTTTTGTAAAAATTTTTTTAAAAATGAGGAGGAGGAGAAGGAGGAGGAGGAGAATAAGATGAAGAAGAAGAAAAGAAGAAGAAGAAGAAGAAGAAGAAGAAGAAGAAGAAGAAGAAGAAGAAGAAGAAGAAGAAGAAGAAAATTACATAAGTAAGGCATGGTAGCACATGCATATAATCCCAGTGCTCACAAGGCTGAGGTAGAAGGACTGCACAAGGCCAGCCTGGGCTATATAGCTGATCAAAGTCAACTACACAGTAAGATTCTGTCTCAAAGACAAAATTCAAGGACTGAAGATGTAGCTCAATGGCAGAATATTTCCCTCACTTGAGCAAAGTCCTGAATTCAATCCTGCATCTGTAGGAAAAAAATAGGCAAACCTTGGGTTTGTGGTGTAGATCAGTGTTTGAGTGTGTACTTAGCATGTATGACACCCTGGAATCAATCCCCATCACATGCGCATGCACACACACAGAGGCAGAAAAACTAAAGAAAAAAAGCAATAAAAGAGTAGGTGAAGCTAAATATGCTTGTGAATATGTTGGTAAAATCATATAGAAAAGCAAAAGAACATTCAACTGAAAATCAGGATGATGCTTACCTCTGGATGAGAAGCATACATATTATCACCTCAGAGTTGGGATGGCCCTGAGGCCTTCTAAGGCCTTGAAAATGTTTGATTTCTTAACTTTGGTGATCAGCCAATAGGTCCTTTATGATAATCGTCCTTTAAACCAGACATATAAATACATTATATACTCTGGGGTGAGATGGAGTAGGGGAGGGCTTCCAGGGACTGTGGCCACACAGGAGAATCCTAAGGGAGTTTTCAACAACAGGAAAGGTGAGGCCACCAACACTGGGTCCAGTCCTAAGCTAGTTCCTCTGCCAAAAGTCTGGAATTGGTGAGTTATAGAGGCTTTTAGCAGAGCTGTCACCAAGTGTGGTGCCATTGGTATGTGGTAAAGATGTGTGCTGGTTAGTTTTTGTTAACTTGATGCAATAAACCCGTTCCTCTCCAAGTGGTTTTCAGTCAGAGTATTTTATCATAGCAATAGAAAGCAAAAGTTTTGGGAGGATTGTGGAAGTATTTGGAACTTTGGGATGGAAACGCCTTTGAGTTCTTAGAACTTAATGGGTTGGTCTGTGGGACCTTAGAAGATAACACTGAGATAAATGCAGATGATGGATCCCTGACTTGTGAAGCTTCAGAGGGAAGTTTGTGAGTCCCATAAAGACTATCTAAGCCATTTGTGTGAAATTATGAATTGTGAACCTGTGGTTTCTTGTTGGCTGGGGTTGAAGAATCAGCTGTGGTTAACAAGAGACGGGTACTGCAGAACTGAAACTTTTGCTTTACTAGGGCAATCCATGTTGGTTAGGTAGGGATGAAAATCAGCTGTGAGTAACAATAGACCAGCATCATTGAGGTGAAATCTGGAAAGTATTTCCTTAGGGCCAGCACACAGAAGATGTGGTCCATAGTGGCCAAGGTTGCCACTAAACTTGGTAATGTGTAAGAGTCTCCCACATGGTAATGGCTTTAACGGCATGAAGGGGTCATGGAGAGCAGCTGAAGATTGGCACCATTTGGCTGGGTTGGAGTCCCTGCAGAGGTCATTGGTGAAGGTGCAGCGGAGGTTGCAGTGGAGACCCCCGCATATTGGAGATGCCAGAACTGTGGAATGACGACCAAGGAAAATAGCACGTGTGGAATGGAGCTGGCCTAAGTCTATGAGACAAATTGTGTATGCTGTGGAAGGCAGAGCTGGAGAAGTGGAGCTATCCAAGTCTTTTAGAGCCCAGAAGATTATGAGTGATTCCCAGATATCTGTCATTATTGCAGGACTTTGGTTTTGCATAAGTGTGCCCAGTTCTCCCGCCCTCCCGTTTTTTTGTCCTTTTGAGACAGAGTCTCTCTGTAGCCCCAGCTGTCCTGGAACTCACTATGTAGACCAGGCTAACCTTTACCTCACAGAGATCTGCCTGCCTCTGCCTCCCAAATGCTGGGATTAAAGGCATGTGCCACCATGCCCAGCTCAGTTCTTCCCTTTTGAAATAAGAAAGTATCTATCTTATTTTTGATTTTACAGGTTCCCACAGTTGAGAGACTTTGGAATTTTAAAGAACTTGAACTTTTAAATTGTTGGAATTTTTAAAAGACTGTGAGACTTTTAAAAGTAGGAGTGTGTTTTCTATTGTGATATTATTGTGAGCTCCCGAGGACAAGAAATAAAAAGCATATGGCGTAAAAAAAATTTCTTTTCTGACTACAAAAGTTCTGCTACTTTATTTGCTTTCCAGGAAGGTGAAACTTTTTCACTATTCCCAGGTTGTGAGATATAATCATCTCTGTTGAGATGGTGCCTGGAAGGTAGTATGTGCTCAGTACATGAAAGTCAACATTTTCATAAGTTCTTGGAAATTTCCATAGTGTACAACAATTACATTGAGACTGTAATGGTTGGAAGGGAAAGCAGAATCCCTTAAATCCTTGTCTAATTGTTAGTGCCCCCTTCCAAGGTTTGTGAAGTCTTATTTAATTTTCTTTAGCTCCTGACTTATTCCAGTCATAAATTTCATGTCCCTATGAAATTCTTATTCCACAGAAGCAGTATATTGTGAGAAATGAGATTTGAATCTACCAAAGAATTTTGTGTGCACTAAGATGACAAAAAAAAGCAGAGTGGTGAATATGACTCATGACAACACAAGAG